AAGAACAGAGGATGCTTTTGCCCAATGATGCAGAGCAGGGATCAGCCAACCAGGGTCTGAGGCCCATAGCTGGCCCTCAACCTGGTTTTGTTAACAAAGTTTTATTGGAAACAGCCAAGAGGCCTCGGCACAAGCCCACCCTTGTCACCATCGCTCCTTTCCGAGAGGAATTTTGGAAGTGGGCTGCAGCCCTAAGCCCACGGATCCAGCCCCACCCCCGCCCGGCTGCGCTCACCAGCTCATTCCTCTCTTCCGACAGCAAGGCGTTCCGGTCCTCGAGTTTCCGAATGATGGCGCTTAGCTCTGCGATTTTAAGTTGGAAACGCCGGGCATCCTTTTCATCCAACTGCTGTTCCTAAAACAGAAATCAACTGCAAATAACTGTTCGCAGATGCAGACGGAGAAACTTGCAAATCCCAACAGCGTGGAGACCAGAGCACTTTCGAGTCTTGATGGCTGGAGACCCTGCATGGGCGGTGGGCGAGGGACCCTCCTAGGGGCTGGGGCGCCGTGGTGGCAAGCCATGAGATGGGACAGAATGCAAGAGCAGAAATGTCAAGAAAATGCAAATGTGGAAGGTGAGGGCATGCAAATGCAGGTACCCGGACCACAGCGAGCCCAGAAAGCATTGGAACCAGCCCACGCACACCTCAGTCTCTGCTGTCTGCACCCCAGGCAGGGTCTGGCCCCCAGGCAGGGTCCGCACCGCAGGCGGGAAGTCACCTCCCTAGCATTCTAAAGTGAGCTCAGGTAACGACATTGGACTAACGACTCTCAAAAGCTGCTTCCCCAAGATTATGTTTCTGAAAGGTCACTTTGGAACTTCAGGCAAAAATCTGTGACAACATTTTAATTCAGTTTGAGAGCCTCTGGGGTTCGCACAATCTATCGGGGATCATGCCAGGGCAGGCGCTGTCTGATTCAGCTCAGCCATGTATAATAGGATTATCAAATGTCACTTTCTACCTTAAATGTCACCGTCCTAGGGCTGGCTCAGCTCACACTGGGTTTTGTCCTAAAGCAAACGGGTGCCCAAAAGGACAGAGGAATGATTCCTCATTCAGCAGGTGCAGGAGAGGCTAGGGGCAGACTCAGACAGACCTCGGACCTCGTGGAGGGTCCTTGGAATTCAGACCCTCCCCTCCCCCCCCGCCCCCGACTTCCCAGGACCACCCAAGAGGGCTCTGAATGAGGAGCGGCAATGAGGAGATGAGTGGCGTCATGGCCGGGCAGCTGTTGGCCCTGTGCCATCCTGGCGGGCCAGGGAGGAGCAGGAGTGTCCCGGTTACATGAAAAGCGGGGGGGCGGGCAATGGGTGATGTGAATGGTGAAATCACTGCACGGGGGTCAAATTCAGGATGAGGGGAGCAGGGAGCCGGCCTTCCCGGCAGAAGGTAAAGCCTGTGTGTGGACAGGGAAGCAGCTGGTGTCCCACCAGCCCGGGACAGGAGCCAGCACCAGCCAACACCAGGGACCCTCGTCAACCTGGGGGTCCAGTGGCTCAGATGGGCTCCAGCGGGAAGCCCAAAGTTTTGGGGGTCCACGGCAGGGGGACCATGTGAAGGCAGGGCTACACACTACGTTAACAAGGAAGGAAGGACAAAGGCTACCCGCCCTCTTGGCCGTGCCAGAGAGCCGAGGGGCCCGGGGCCTGGCTGGCGGGCTGCAGGCACAGTTGGGGTTCCAAGGGTGGGAGGGCTCTGGCCCTGGACACGGGCTCGGCCCCCTGAGGAGCTTCCTCGCAGGGACACGCAGCTGAAAGCGTGCGACGGGGAGGTGCTTACAGGGCTTCCCGAGTGGTCTGAGGCGTCTCCTGCACCGCTTGCATAAGGAAGTTCCCGTCTGGGGCTGCCCAGGTGCCGATCAGCCTCTTTGACCTGGGACAGCTGCTCATCTAGAGCCTCTTTTTGGAGCTGCAGTCTCTGCGCATGCCCGGCTTGAATCCCTAACTCTCTCTCCAGCACGAAGACTGCTCTGTCCTTAAATTTTATCTCCTCCATCTACAAGGAGAACAGAACACAATCACACAGGCAGGCAGGATGCAGATCTGTTACCATAGCAACAGGCAGAATGCACAAGCATCAGGAGGGGTCCCCCCCAACACAGGGCAGCCCTCCCCACTCTCCCTGTGCTCAACCTCCTAACAGCTGCGAGGAGCCACCTGCCTCCCAGCCCCTCCTCCTGGCGGCCATAGGTGCGACTGAGGCCCAAGGTGGGCTGCCCTCAGAGGGGAGGGCAGAACCAGCCCCACCACCGCCCACTCCTCAGACACGCAGACGCGGGTGGCATGGGCATCATTACAAACGACGCTAGATTTGCAAGAAGACTCAGTTTAAAATGTATTTCAAACAACAGAGCAGGATAGGGCGTCTCGTTGCTTTGCGCGCTGTTTAAGGTTACAGTAAGCTAATAAATCAGCCGTCTGCTGAAGTCAGCTGGGAAACAAAGAGATGAGACGTCTAATTAGCCCAGATCGCAGCATTCATGGGGAAGCGGTGAAGTGAATAGAAAAAAGAAAAAGAAATCCTTAATTGCTAAATTCCCATTTACTGGAACTCACAGAAATGCAGAGGCAACACAGTCAATTAGTGGAAACAGAGAGGCCAGTGAAGAGAAAACCAGATTAACACGCAGCTATATCCTGTGGCCTGACATTTCCCCTCTTAGAGATACTTTGCAAACATCCTTTTCTTTCACCAGGAAACAAGGAAATCAGTCTCTGCTCACTCATCCCACTTCAATCCGCTGCTTCAGAGGGCGGGCGGGGTTTGATTTTTTAACGATGGGAAACTCACTTTAAGATCACAGTGTCTCCCAGGGGGTCCTCCTAAGGCCCCGGGACTCTCGCATGCAGTGTCTCCACTGAAAATTCTCAGCCAAGGGCACATTCCTACATCTTCTACTCCTGTCATAGTCACCTGCCGCTTACCCACGGGGACACGTTCTGAGAAATGCCTGGTTAGGTGATTTTATTGTCCTGTGAACATCACAGAGGCACATAAATCCAGACAGTACAGCCTACTGCTCACCTGGGCTACATGGTACAGCCTACTGCTCACCTGGGCTACATGGTACAGCCTACTGCACACCTGGGCTACATGGTACAGGTACAGCCTACTGCTCACCTGGGCTACATGGTACAGCCTACTGCTCACCTGGGCTACATGGTACAGCCTACTGCTCACCTGGGCTACATGGTACAGCCTACTGCTCACCTGGGCTACATGGTACAGCCTACTGCTCACCTGGGCTACATGGTACAGCCTACTGCTCACCTGGGCTACATGGTACAGCCTACTGCTCACCTGGGCTACATGGTACAGCCTACTGCTCACCTGGGCTACATGGTACAGCCTACTGCTCACCTGGGCTACATGGTACAGCCTACTGCTCACCTGGGCTACATGGTACAGCCTACTGCTCACCTGGGCTACATGGTACAGCCTACTGCTCACCTGGGCTACATGGTACAGCCTACTGCTCACCTGGGCTACATGGTACAGCCTACTGCTCACCTGGGCTACATGGTACAGCCTACTGCTCACCTGGGCTACATGGTACAGCCTACTGCTCACCTGGGCTACATGGTACAGCCTACTGCTCACCTGGGCTACATGGTACAGCCTACTGCTCACCTGGGCTACATGGTACAGCCTACTGCTCACCTGGGCTACATGGTACAGCCTACTGCTCACCTGGGCTACATGGTACAGCCTACTGCTCACCTGGGCTACATGGTACAGCCTACTGCTCACCTGGGCTACATGGTACAGCCTACTGCTCACCTGGGCTACATGGTACAGCCTACTGCTCACCTGGGCTACATGGTACAGCCTACTGCTCACCTGGGCTACATGGTACAGCCTACTGCTCACCTGGGCTACATGGTACAGCCTACTGCTCACCTGGGCTACATGGTACAGCCTACTGCTCACCTGGGCTACATGGTACAGCCTACTGCTCACCTGGGCTACATGGTACAGCCTACTGCTCACCTGGGCTACATGGTACAGCCTACTGCTCACCTGGGCTACATGGTACAGCCTACTGCTCACCTGGGCTACATGGTACAGCCTACTGCTCACCTGGGCTACATGGTACAGCCTACTGCTCACCTGGGCTACATGGTACAGCCTACTGCACACCTGGACTACATGGTATAGTCTACTGTTCACCTGGGCTACATGGTACAGCCTACTGTTCACCTGGGCTACATGGTACAGCCTACTGTTCACCTGGGCTACATGGTACAGCCTACTGTTCACCTGGGCTACATGGTACAGCCTACTGTTCACCTGGGCTACATGGTACAGCCTACTGTTCACCTGGGCTACATGGTACAGCCTACTGTTCACCTGGGCTACATGGTACAGCCTACTGTTCACCTGGGCTACATGGTACAGCCTACTGTTCACCTGGGCTACATGGTACAGCCTACTGTTCACCTGGGCTACATGGTACAGCCTACTGTTCACCTGGGCTACATGGTACAGCCTACTGTTCACCTGGGCTACATGGTACAGCCTACTGTTCACCTGGGCTACATGGTACAGCCTACTGTTCACCTGGGCTACATGGTACAGCCTACTGTTCACCTGGGCTACATGGTACAGCCTACTGTTCACCTGGGCTACATGGTACAGCCTACTGTTCACCTGGGCTACATGGTACAGCCTACTGTTCACCTGGGCTACATGGTACAGCCTACTGTTCACCTGGGCTACATGGTACAGCCTACTGTTCACCTGGGCTACATGGTACAGCCTACTGTTCACCTGGGCTACATGGTACAGCCTACTGTTCACCTGGGCTACATGGTACAGCCTACTGTTCACCTGGGCTACATGGTACAGCCTACTGTTCACCTGGGCTACATGGTATATAGCCTACTGCTCACCTGGGCTACATGGTACACCCTACTGCTCACCTGGGCTACATAGTATAGTCTACTGCACACCTGGACTACATGGTATAGTCTACTGTTCACCTGGGCTACATGGTACAGCCTACTGTTCACCTGGGCTACATGGTATATAGCCTACTGCTCACCTGGGCTACATGGTACACCCTACTGCTCACCTGGGCTACATAGTATAGTCTACTGCACACCTGGGCTACATGGTACAGCCTACTGCTCACCTGGGCTACATGGTATAACCTACTGCACACCTGGGCTACATGGTATAACCTATGGCACACCTGGGCTACATGGTCTAGCTTTCTTCCAGATGCCATTCATACACTCCTTGGTGACACCACCCAAGCTCAAGCAATGCAGTCACAGACGTTGTGATCCTTCCAGAATTACATCAGTGTCTTCTCAGCATCTTCCTCCATTGCAGCAGTAGCTTGGGCAAAGGTCCTCCTCAGGTAACAGGCCTGAAAAGCTGCTATAACTCCTTGATCCACGGTTTGATCAAAGAGGGGGTGTTTGGAGGGAGAAGCACCATGTTGATATTGGATGAAGATCACCAAGAAAAGGAGGATGTCCAGGAGCATTATCAACCATAAGCAAATCTTGAAAGGTATGTTGTTCTCCACACAGTGCTTCTGCTGGTGTAGCAATTCAGGAAGGCGTCTCGGAGGAGGAGCCGGGTCCTCCTTCACTTCTCGTTGCTCCCATAGGAGACCTGCAGTAAAATGCCTGAAGGCCCTGGATTCTCACTGTGCCCAATCACAAAGGGATTTGATCTGTAGCCCGTAACATTGCCCCCAAACAATGTCCTTAAAGACCTTGAACCCTGGCATCCACCTGGCCTCCTTATGGGTGAAAGTCCTTTCAGGCATCCGTTTCCAGAATCGGGAGGTTTCATCCATATTGAATATTTGCTCAGGGGAGTAACTGTATTCCTCCTCAATCGGGTTATCTAGAGTTTCCAACAATCCTCAGCTGCCTTCACACCAGCATGCGCAGACTCGCCACTCACTCTCACGTTACATAATGAGTAACGATTCTCGAATCGCTTAAACCACCCAGAACTAGCAGCAAATTCAACACCGTAGTTGGATCCAGCCTGTCCTTTCAACATCACAAGCCTTTTGCTTTGGCCGCGGTCATCATGGTGCGCAGAGGGATGCATGTTTGCATCTGGTCTTCAGCTCAGGTCACTAGAAGTTTCTCCATGTCTGATATAGGCCCTTCTGGAATCTTGGTTAGTCCCATTGCTTCAATTAAGCAGATCCTTCAATTGCCTCCATCACTTGGTTCTTGTTCATGATCGTAGCTGTGGTGGAATGGGACGCGCCTGACTGGGGAGCAATAACCATCCTGATTTTCCACCTTCGTGTCCTTAATCCCTTTCCTTTTCTTTCCAGGGCCCCCACCTCACCTCACCACCAAGAACTCCCCCTGCCTCACCCCCTCACTCCCAGTTATAGGAGGTATAGAGAAATGGTAGGGCCCGGCTGGCATGGCTCAGTGGTTGAGTTCGACCTATGAACTAGGAAGTAGGTCACAGTTTGATTCCCAGTTGAGGCACAGGCCCAGGTTGCAGGCTCGATCCCCAGTGTGGGGTGTGCAGGAGGCAGCCAATCGATGATTCTCTCTCATCATTGAGGTTTCTATCTCTCTCTCTCCCTCTCCCTTCCTCTCTGAAATCAATAAAAATATATTTTTAAGAACATTTTTATTAAATTCATTAGTTAATGAGGGGACAAGTAAATGTTGCAGCCAATTTGAATGAGGATTTGATCTAAAGAGAGTTGTGCCGCCAGCCTGGCAAAGACCATTTGCAGTGTCTGAGGAAGAGTCATTTGTCCATCTGTGGACAGGAATGGCTGCATTGCTAAAGGTTTCCTCCAGGTAAAGGTCTGTCTCTGCAGAGTCTAGATCAAAGACAAAGGTCAAAGGTGAAGGTGCACATGGTGTGAGCTGGGACAGCCCTCAAGCATTCTTAGAAAAGGAGACGGAAATCTTCTATTTCTTTTCTTGCTATTTCAATCTTCCACAGTTTTTCCCTGTAGACTCCACAGTCAATTTGGGGACTCTCCTTTATTTATCATTTTTTATGTTCTTTCCCCGAACCGTCCCCGGTATCCACCCTGGAGATGCTGGGTCCCCAGGGCCATTTCTGGCCAAATTTTCACTCAAAGCGGAAGGGAAGGAATGGACTTGTTCCGTGCCTGCCTGGCTCTGATATCAGTTTTCTGTGAGCTCAGCCAGGCCCCCCTCCCCAGCCGAGGTTGTATGGAAGAGTCAGGGGCCAAGAAAGGTCCAGTTACTCTTGAAGAACAAAGCTAGAGAACGCTCCTCCAGAAATCAAGACGTATTATAAAACGGGAATAATTTAAAAATGAGCTCGAAGAGGAGCTGTGATAGAACAAACTAGAAAGCCCACTCATATAATAATGAGGTGGCCCTGTGGATTGGGGGAAAGGTGGTCTTTTTCATAAGGGCTGCTGGGACAGTTGTATATCCATGTGGAAAACATATAACTGGACCCCCACCTTACAGCGCACACACACACACACACACACCTACAGCCCAGGCACGGCAAACACCTATGCATGAAAGATAAAGTTCTAAAAAGATAACACTTCATGGCTCCAGAATAAAAGAATTTCCTAAACAAGACACAATAAGCACCAGCCATACAGGAAAAGATCAACAAATTAGGCCACGTTAGAATGTAAAGTTTTAGATCATAAAATGGCACCACCAAGAACAGAGAAAGCTAACCCAGTGTGAGGAAGGGGCTTGCATTTTAATATACATTTTAGAATCAGCTTCAGGAAAGCTGCTGGGATTGACAGGCGTTGTTTGCTCCTTATATTAATCTGGGGAGAAATGCCATCTAACAATGCTGAGCTTCCAATTCATAACGTGGAATGTCTATTTAATTGTTCAGTTCACCAGTCCATGAACATGGAATGCCTATTTGTTTATTCAGCTTACCAATCCATGAACATGGAATGCCTATTTGTTTATTCAGCTCACCAATTCATGAACATGGAATGCCTATTCGTTTATTCAGCTCACCAATCCATGAACATGGAATGCCTATTTGTTTATTCAGCTCACTTTTAGTTTCTCTCAGTCGTGTATTGTAGTTTTCAGAGTTCAAGTCTTGCACATCTTTTGTTAAACTTCTAAATATTTTATTCTTTTTTATGCCATCATGAGTGGAATTTTTTAAAATTTAATTTGAATTGGATGCTCTATCCACTGAGCCAAACCGGGTAGGGCGAATTTTTTAAAATTTAATTTGAATTTTTTGTTACTGCTACATAAAAATACAACTGATTTTTGCATATTGATCTTGTGTCCTGAAACCTTGCTGAAGTCATTAAAAAGTTCTTTTGGGGCCCGGCTGGTGTAGCTCAGTGGTTGAGCGTCGACCTATGAACCAAGAAGTTTAGGAACCAAGTTCCATTCCTGGTCAGGGCACATGCCCTGGTTGCAGGCTTGATCACCAGTGGGGGGCATGCAGGAGGCAGACAATCAATGATTCTCTCTCATCATTGATGTTTCTATTTCTCTCTCCCTCTCTCTTCCTCTCTGAAATCAATATATATGTGTGTATATATGTATGTATATATACATATATTTTAAAAAGAGGACGCTAAGGGGAGGATCTAACATCTGGGAGGGGACAGGTCACCACCCCAGTAGTTCTCCCGAGACACTGCCCACACCCATAAAAGGCAGTTCCCTCCATTTGGGTATCCATTTATTCCCATGATACCTGGTCAATGTAATTTAGGGAGGCCTGGAGTGTGGGGGTGGGGGGGGGCCAGAAGAGGGGCTAAGATGGAGGAATCTGAAAGTGAACGCTTAAGCATGTTTTTGAGAATTTGGAACAAATACCAGGAGAATCTGCTAGAGCTGCCTGTGGGGCGTCTGTGTCAGGGGTGAGGGACCACAGGAAACCGCTGGCTCTGTGTCAGCCTTCAGTTAAGGAGATGAGGCCACCTGTCTCCTATGAACACTGAAGCCAGTCGATGAATTAAAGGGTGGTGTGGGGCTGGACAGCGGTGCTCACGTGGCACCAACACAGGGCTGGGGGGTGGAGCCATGGGGGAGCATGGAAAGGGGACGCTCTGGAAAAGGAAGGTCTGGGGCCCCCGTGCACACACTGTGGCAGAGTGTGTCTGCCTCACAGCGCTCAGTTCCCCTCCGGGCCATGGGTCCAGAGGGATGCAGCCCTTCTGGGACGTTCAAGGCGACAGCACCGTTTGGAAAACAGAGCCCCAGGGAAGTAGGGGCAGGTGGCCTGGGTGCAGGGCCAGGCTGTGCCCCATGGAGGGATATCCAGGGTCCTGGGTGTCACCAGCAGAGCCAGCCGGGTCCTGATGAACCGCACACTGGGACGTGGGGCACGCCTCTAACGCTGACCTCCATTTCCCCAAATCACCAAGGAGGTCCCGGCTCCAAGGGGTGAGGAGAACCGGCACAATCCCTCAGGATTCCTGAATATTCTCCGACTCCCCAGCCCTGGGGCTCTGAGGACACTGACTCCACGGGGCCTGCCAGGGGACACGGTCTCTGACCACGGGATGCACAGGTGCCCATGCCTGACCTACAAGATGGTAACTTCACGCCATCAAGCCTCAGACATGCACAGGGCACAGGGACATCAGGATGGCCTCAGGGACATGCCACCACCCCCTGTCCTCGTGGTCTCACCTCTCTGGACCCAGTGAGCTGGACAGACAGCAGAGCCCGCCCAGTGATGGAAGAAGTGACTGTGCCAGCAGAGCACTAGCCCTGCATGGCTTGCAGCCCAACCTGCACTCTAAGGAGGGGAGGCTTTCATGACATTGCAGGCATCCTGTTCTGGCCCAAACGAGACCCAGGATGTAAAGCTGGTTGGAGAGGGGCAGAGAGAGGACCTCTGCCTGCCAGCTGGCCCTTCTGACCTATCCTCGCATCCGCATGTCCCCAGGACCAATAGTGATGGTGTGAGTGCCCGTGCCCAGAAGCAGGCCCACCACTGGCCGCCCCCCTGTCCCCGGTCCCTGGTCCCCCTGCCTTCGCCGCCCCCTCCCCTACCCACCACCTGCAGCCCACGTACCAGCCTGCGGATCTCACGCTCACACTCCTTCTTGATGCGGGAGATCTCCTCCTGGTGCAGGTGGTACACGCTCCGGATCTCCGCGGCCTTGATCTTGTCGGCCTGCATGACCATAGTCAGCGCCTCCTCCACCTGCCGCTTGGCCCCCTTGAGCTCCAAGATCTCCTGCTGCATTTTCACCTTCTCCACCTCGAACCCCTTCTTGGCCTCCTCCTTGGCCTCGGACAGCAGCCCGGTCTTGACCTTTTCGGGGCCGCCGTCGCGCAGGGCGTGCAGCAGCGCCTGCAGCCGCTGGTTCTCGTTGTCCTTGATCTTGATGACGCGCAGCAGCTCGGCCTCGTGCTGGCGCAGCAGCGTCTCGCGCACGGCCTGCAGCTCCTTCATCTTCTCCTCGTGCAGCTTGCTCTTCAGCTCCGTGAGCAGGACCGCGTTCTTGTGCTGCTCGTGCTCGCGCACCTGCTTCAGCTCCTGGTTCTTCTCTCTCTCCACCCGGCTGACCTGCAAGACAAGAGCGAGGCTGGGTCGTCCCCGAGCAGCCCCTGTACTGGCCAAAGTCTGGACACTGATTTTACAAAGTTTTGTTTGCAAACTGGGTTGCTGCTTCCATTCGAGAATGTCTCCTTAAAATGCAACTGAGCCCTAGCTGGTTTAGCTCAGTGGATAAAGCGTCAGCCTGTGGAGTGAAGGGTCCTGGGTTCGATTCTGGTCAAGGGCACATGCCCTGCTTTCGGGCTCGATCCCCAGTAGGGGGCAAGCAGGAGGCAGCCAATTAATGATTCTCTCTCATCATGGATGTTTCTATCTCTCTCTCCCTCTTCTTTCCTCTCTGAAATCAATTAAAATATCCTATATAACAAAAGCCTAATATGCTAAGTGTCTGGTCGTCCAGTCGGCCATTCAACCAATCAAAGCGTAATATGCTAATGATATGCTAAGGCCACTCAACTGCTCGCTATGACGTGCACTGACCATCAGGGGGCAGATGCTCTGACCAGTAGATTAGCTTGCTGCTGGGGTCCGGCCAATCGGGACCGAGCCAGAGGGCCGGACATGCCCTGGAGCCCTCCCGTGGTCCC